GAAAATAAACTCAGATCTCCTGAGCCTCTCTCTTCTACAAGCAATTGTAAGACTTGGTTAATCCGAAAGAATGGCAAGGACTGAGTATCGTAGAAATGGTGATTTTCCGGTTCCTGCCTCTCCCTGAAATGCTAACACTGAAGAGCCACCAGCATCCACTTCGCTTAATATTCTGTAGATTAAAGGCTTCTGAAGTGAATTTGATTTTCTTGTGCTTTCCCTTGAACTGGATGGCAGTAACATTGCTAACACAATTTAACACAATTTCCAGCAAACACTATCTTAGCCTCCTTTCTTACTAGCAGCTTATCCAATGATTTCTTTCCCTTGCATTCCCCCTCTAATAAACTGATTAAATACAGTTTCCTTTGTTACTATGTAAACAGTCAAGGGTGCTTTAGGCCAGTGGTTATCAACAGCTGGTCGCCGTGAGCGAGGAGAGGGCGGCGGGGGGGGGGGGGGGGGAGGGAGCCACAGAGGTCTCTGACCCCGCCCCTTCCCTTTGGCTCTTTTTTCCTGCCAGCAGGCAGGGTTTTGTCCACCCCTCCCATCCAGTCCCCTCTTCCTCCCCACCCCTCCCTTCTGGCCAGCTGAGAGCTTCAGTTTCAGCGTGCTCCAACTAGCTGCTCCAGCCTCAACCAAGAACACTCCTCTCCCTCCCCCCTTCCCCAGAGACCTAAAAGGGGTTGACTCTGACCACAGTGCCTGTGCCAGCTCCAAGCCTGCCAGCCCAGACCCAGCAGTCACTGCCCCTGACCCAGTGGCCCCAAAACATGAGCCAGCAAGCCACTGGCAGCCAGTCCTCCACTGTTCCCCACGAGCAGTCTGCCAGCTCCCGGGAGCCTGCTAGGGCCTGGAGAAAGCAGGCACCTTCCTGGTCCAGGGTGGAGAGCATGGACCTTATTCAAGTTTGGGGGGGATGCTCCCAATGTCCATGATCTCTGCACTCGACAGAGGAATGCAGCTGTCTATGGCAGGGGGGCTGCCAGCCTGGCCACCAAAAGCCAGACGCAAACCCAGGAGCAGGTTTGCATGAAAATCAAGTTGGTCCGGCGAGACCCCCAACTCTGAGCCCTGAGCTTCCCCTCCCCCTTATTCCTTGAACCTCAGTCCTCCCTGCAACTCCCCCTGCCGTGAGGCTGGAGCAGCAGGGCAGTGAGGTGTTTCATTTGGGGATCACATATGAGAAGGTTGGCATTTGGGGAGGGTTCGAGGGGGGACTTGGCAAGTGTAGTGGCAGATGAGATAATATCATAATATCATAGACACTAACCTCCCCCCCTCAGCCTCCCTCTGGTCTAAAATCTGATTTATCAATTTCATATGTGTTCATTTTTTTAATTGTATCCTTTGGTATATATGGTTGTGCCAATTTTCTTCCACAATTTGATCTGAGGAAGTGGGTCTGGCCCATGAAAGCTCATCACCTAATAAACCATCTTATTAGTCTTTAAAGTGCTGCATAGTCCTGTCTTTTGTTTCAGCTACACCAGACTAACACGGCTACATCTCTATTACTATAGTACAAAGTCAGAAAAGACCAATTGGATCGTCTAGTATGACCCCCTGAATTAATTCCTGCTAGAATTAGAAAAATTAAGAGGGCGGGGGGGAGGAGGAGGGTGGAAGAAAGCCTAGCTGTCAGTAATGGAAAAGAATCCACTGGGGTCTGTGGTAAGTTGTTCAAATGGTTATTATCTTACCGTTTTAAAAGCTAGGAACCTATGTTTTCTAACTTGCATTGTCTAGCATCAGCTTCCAGCTATCTGATCTTGTCAGACATTTGGTAGATTGCAGAGACCTCTGTTTGTTTTTCATGTGGGTACTTATAAACTGATCAAGTGACCCCTTAGCCTTCTTTTGGTTAAGCCAAAGGATTGAGCTCCTGTAACACATTTTCCAGTCATTCTCCTGCTCTTCTCTGAATCCTCTCCAATTTATCAAAATGAAGGGTGGGATATCAGAATTGAAAATACTATTCCAGTGGGTCTCACACCAGTACCAAATAAAGATAATGCAGTCTTCCTAATCCTTCTAGATATTCCTTTGTGTATACATTCAAGGATTGCATTGACCCTTTTGGTCACAGCATCTCACGCGGACCTCGTGTTCAGGTGATCATCTATCCAGATCCCCAAGTCCTGGTTCATATTAATAAGGAGAAAAGGGTAGATTACGTCCCTCTTGTGGAAAGGTCTGCTTTTCTTTAACCCGACAGGCATCTGCATGGACTTGCAGTAACGCTACAAAGGTACTGGCAATGGAAAAGACACACAAACCTGATGCCAGATAAGGAGTTGGTGCTGAGATGGGTTTTTCCTACATCATCTCCAAGACTTTCAGAGCCTGAGCAGACAGCGATGGTTTGGTGTTCTGAGACACTTCTGATATAACTGCTGATAGCATCCCTATTTCCAGTGCTGCTAGGTGGTAACTGGTTACCCAGGAAGCAATCACCCTTAACTAGAGATATTAAAATACATTTCCATGCAGGGGGCAGGGCGATGCAGGAAAGATGCAGCAGCATGGTGGGCAGGTGGTTCTGCAGGAAACAGCACACACAGGAGCCAGCTGAAAAGCCGGCTCCCCACATGTACTCACTTCCAACAGCAGCGCAGGGGATGGGAGCAGCAGGTGGCTCTGGCTCGCAGCAACGCATCCGCAAGAAGCACCAGAGTGCCCAGGGGCATCTCTGGCTCCATGTTGCAGAGTGCTGTGGTGTCCCGAGTGAGGGCAACCAGAGCACACAGAGACAAAATGCTTGGCTGTCCCTCATCGAGGTAGGCAAGCAAGCCGGGAAACCTAAGAACTGGCTGTCCCTTTAAGCATAGGCCTCAGGCAGCAGCCACACAAAGTAACTCCTGACCTGATGCCCTGCCGGACCTGGTTTTGGCCGGCCTTAAATGCGATTCAGCATCCACTCAGTGTGGACACGTTATTTCGAAATAGCAAAAAGCTATTTCGAAATGCATTTTCTGTGTAGACATGTTATTTTGAAATAACTTATTTCAGATTAACTATTTCAAAATAAGATATTTTGAAATATCGCTGTAGTGTAGACATACCCTTAGAGAGTTATATACGTCCCAATAGGGTTCTGGGGTTGGAGTGAACCATTTTCTTTGCAGAATCTAGAATCTATCTTTACAAACTACTATTTAAAGAGGAAACACAGTAATGCCAGTTGCTTTAAAAATGGCATTTTCCCACGAAGATTTATGACAGAGCTTGCCAGACTGAAAATACTACATGTACTATGATGTGTTGCCACTGGACAAATTTGAAAAAGGAAAACTAACAGATGTTTGATTCAAATGTCCTGATGATGTCCTGTATATTGCACATTCCCTTGCTAATTGAAATTCCTGGAAGGTTGTCTCATGAATCGGATACTTTGTGGGGAAAGAACACAGACCATGCTTTGATGCTGCTGGGAAAAGGAAGACAGGCATGGAGCTGTTCATGAACTTGACAACTTCTGGCTCCTCTGAGAGTTTCAAAAATATTTAATTACCCTTGATGTTTACCAAAATGCTGATTTCCTTTCACGTGCTTGTGCTTTTACGTGGAAAGTAAATGGAAAAAAGAGATTTTTGCTATTTATTCAACTCATCTAAAAGCAGAACGTAGGTGCCAGTTACCAAGTAAAGAGTATTTTTTCAGCCTGTAGAGGGAACTATATGGAGCACCAGCTCTGTTTTTCTATGTAGTTACTTGCATTTATTAAAATAAAATAATGGGATGATATATTCTGCATCCTCCCTGCAGTTATGCCTAAAGCTACAGCAGTGGTTTTCAACCTGTGGTCCATGGAACCTTGGGGACCTGCAGATTATAGCTAAGATTTATAAATGGGTCCTCACTTCCATTCAAAATTGTGAAAGGAGTTGCAAATGAAGAAAAGTTGAAAGCCACTGACCCTGCATCCCTGTCAGAATCTCACAGTTTAACAGGATCAGGCCTATTGGATGGGAAATCTCCAGTCAAAGGCTAGAGTTTCATGCTGATGGTGACATTCTTCCCTCTGAGGGTATGTCTACACTACAGCGTTATTTCAAAATATCTTATTTCGAAATAACGCATCCAGATACAAAATGCATTTCGAAATAGCGTTTTGCTATTTCAAAACAGCGCGTCCACACTGATTGGATGCTGAATTGCATCTAAGGCTGGCCAGAGCTGGCTCTGGCAGGGCATCAGGTCAGGAGTTACCTTGTGTGGCTGCTGCCTGAGGCTATCTGAGGCCTGTGCTTAAAGGGACCGCCCCGGACAGCCAGTTCTTAGGTTTCCCTGCTTGCTTGCCTACCTCACTGAGGACAGCAAAGCATTTTGTGTCTGTGTGCTCTGATTGCCCTCACTCAGGACACCACAGCACTTTGCAGCATGGAGCCAGAGCTGCCCCTGGGCACTCTGGTGCTTCTCCTGGGCGTATGCTTAAAGCCCCCCCCCCCCCCCCCCCTTCCGGACAGCTGGTTCTCAGGTTTCCCTGCTTGCTTGTCTAACTTGATGATATCAAATAAAATACACGTTTTTTCATAAACACAAACTGTCTTTATTTAACAAAACTGGGGTCGAGGGGAGGGAATGAAACTCTGGTGACACTGGGGACAGGAGGCGGGAGAGGGGAGGAGAGAGGGTGAGAGAGGGGAGGGGAAAACCTGGAAGGAGGGAGCTGGAAGGGGGAAGCAAGGGGAAGAAGTGGGAGGGAAAGCTCCAGGGGTGGGGGTCTTGCCGGGCCAACTGTCTCCTTACACCACAGATGAGGGGGTGTCAGTGTCGCCGGGGAAATGGGGAGGGGATGGAGGAGTGGGAGGAGGAGCGGTTGGTGGGGAGGCGGCAGTAGGCAGCACACTGCGCCAGGGCCTGCAAGTGTTGGCAGATGGCATGGCCCTGGGCAAGCTGCTCCCACCGGAGCTCCAGGACTTCCTGCACCCAGTTCTGGAGGGTGCGGTGCAGGGCTCGCAGTGCCCCCAGGTGCTACTGTTGGTACCCGGGCACTGCACGGGTGGTCCTGCGCAGTCCTTGGGTGCAGGAGGATGTCCTGGGTGGTGTGGTGCGCCCTGCCCTTGCAGCTGGTGCGACTGTGGAGAAAGGAGATTTAAGATAAGTGGTCAGTTCTCCCTAGGGACATGGGGTGAGGCCCAGCCCCACTCGGCAAGGCGAGGATGACAGGTCTCCGCACCATCAGAGCCGATGTGCTTGCAGAGAGGCCACATTCGGGATGTCCTGCTATCTCCGGGAGTGGGAGCTGCTCTGGGACTGCACCCATGCCCCTGTGCTGTAGATAGCATGTGTGTGTGGGTGGGGGGGGGGAGATGCCCCCTGCCTCTGTGTAGGGGGGCTTGTGGAGGGAGGGTGTCCTGCTGTGTCCCACCCCCGGGTCAGGAGCATGTCATGTCTCTTCACACACGCGTCTGGCTAACAGACCAAGGCTCCTGTGTGGCAGCTAGCTGGCACCACGTGCCCAGAGGTGGCACAGCACATGCTTGCATGTGCACAGGTTACTGATCCGTGGTCAGCAAGGCCCACGCGTGTGGTCCCTGGTCTCCCTCCCCCCACATAAGGGACAGTGATGGCACTCACATGTTGTTGCCTCCCCGGATGACGTCGGCGACAGGTCCGCTGGAATGACTCGGAAGTCCTGGATGTGCAGCATGCTCCCTCAGGGCTCCTGCGGCTCCTGGCTCTCCTCCTCCTCCGTGCCCTGGTCAGGGCCCTCTGTCCTAGGGTTGATGGTCTCCACACTAGATGAAAAATGAACCCTTTTTCGAAAGATCCTGTAAACCTAATTGTCGACAGAGAGGTGTAGTCTAGATACAACCACCCCGAGTTACTAATACATTAACATGATATCAGGAGGCCCTTGCCCTTTGGGAAAATATAAATATATCTAGATCCTAGAAGACCCACTCGGGGTGTAACCAAATTCAATATGTTTGATTACAATCAGGTTACATACATATGTCCTGCAGTTTCAGCTGGGAATGGCATTTTTCACTGCCTCTCCTAAACTATGGTTTGAGTTTTCCTTAGGCTTAGGATATTTTTCTAATATCTAACTCATGGGCAGTGGGCAAAGCTAATAATATAATGTATGGAGATATACCAGCTCATAGAGCTGGAAAGGACCTTGAGAGATCATTGAGTCCAGTCCCGTCCTTACTGCAGGACCAAGTACCAGCCCTGACAAAATTGCCCCAGATTCCTAAATGGCCCCCTCTCAAGGATTGAACTCATTTAACAGGGCAATGCTTAAACCACCAAGCTCTCCCTCTCCCCGAAATACATACCTATAAAAAAGCTACTGCTTGAGGAGAGGCATTCCCCAGCTTATAACCATGCTCATATTCCATTCTTCCTCTGCTCTACTCTGCCCTGGCCCCACAACCTCCCCACTGCCTTGTTTCTCTATTCCCTCTTCTTTTCTGCTCATCCCTTCCAGCCAAATCCCTGAACCCAAATGTAGCAAACGACATTTGAAAGCAAATCTATTGTCCTAGTTTCTTTCTAAAGAAAATGGAGCGTGGTTTCCACTGCATGCCAGATTGTGAAGACTGGACATGCAGAAGGTACCTAATGAAAAGCACTACATTTGGAAATAAAAACATGTCAGTCATAAGTTTTTTAATATACCCTGAAGTTTGTCAGAGATTTATTAGCAAAACCTTTATAGTAAGGGCAAGTCAGCACTCTTGCTGAATACAACATTAAATATTACGGAATACATGATGTAGCTCTTCTCTCTTCTCTCTTTTCTGAATCAGCATTTCTAAGATGATTTTATATTCTAAGACTTATAAAGTAATAATTCCAGATTACTACATATTTAACTCACTGGAACAAAGACATTATTTTAAATCAATCAAAGGATTTTCAGTGTGTTCAAAACAATGTTTATTGCTCTTAGAAAAAGGGAACAATAATTTATTTTGCATAATTTCCATAAGAATAGACACATTTATGAAATTTGACCATATGTTTAAGTTATAATATGCTTTTCATGTCTAAAATCTTTGGAAACATATTCTTCATCTTACTAAGGTACTGATTTTGAGTGGAGGTCTCTTAAAACGAGTTCATCAAATAGAAGTAAAGAAAGGGAAACTCATTTGTCCAGCTATCTGTGAGAAAATGAATGTTGTCCCTTTAAGAGCTCTCTTCAACAAGGGGATGCAGGGAGAAATTACAGCAGGGCTGGACAGAAAGGACAGGAAGACTTTGCAAGCAAGTGTTTTATGCTGTAGTAATGAAAATTAAAATGTGGTAGTTGGAGTCTTTGTTAAGTCCCCTGCACTTGAAAGGGAATCCTCTGAACTAGCATTCATGCTAAAATTCGACACTCTCCGCAGGGGACTTAACAAAGACTCCAACTATCTTACCCATTACCAAGATAGCTTCCCCAATTATCACCTCTAATACTATTAACTCACAGACATCTACCCTTCCCCATCTCTAATATCATTAACTCACTGGCATTCACCTTCCTTTCCCCCCCCCCGCATCCCCCTTCTATTCTGAAATGTGATTTGTCCTTTTCATATGTGTTCTTTTTTTTTAATTGTATCCTTTGGTATATATGGTTGTGACTATTTTCTTCCACTATTTGATCTGAGGAAGTGGGTCTGGCCCACGAAAGCTCATCATCTAATAAACCATCTTGTTAGTCTTTAAAGTACTACATGATCCTGTATTTTGTTTCACCATAAAAGGGTTCCTTTAAAATGATTTATAGTCAGAGTTGTGAAGTTACATCACTAATTTTGATGTTTTACTCTCTCTCTCTGTGACATTCTCTGAAGAACTAGCATTATCTTGCAATTCGTAGACTTGAAGACCGAGTGGGGAAAACTTGGATAGAGCCCCGAAATGGTCAAGGCTATATGAAAAACAACTCACTGAATTTAAATTGGTAACATAAGCCATGGCCTGCTACTATCGCTGTTAGAAATTAAGACTTCTAGCTTATTCTACTTGTACAATTGATCTTACACATTAGGAATTCATCATCTTTATATCATGTGAAAAGATAGAGCAAAAGAGCAGCCCAGAACCAAAGCTGATGAGTATGTAACGATTCATCAAATGAACAAATCTAGAGAATTCAGAAACTGTTTAAATGTGGTTGATATATTCCAAACAGTAAACTGACTCCTCACGCATCATACTCAACACTTGCACTACCATGTAGCTTTGGCACTGAGGACATCTGGTGGTGGATGAGATGTACAAATAAACAACCTGTGTATCTAATTTTAATAAGAATTTTTAAATTATGTATTGACTCACACAGTAAAACTGGGCCAAACAGGTGTTTACTGACAAGGGCTTATGGATAAGTGGTATGACTGCAGTTTCAGAGGAAGAAAAAAATAAAATCTCCCAAAATCCTAAGAACAGCTATAAATGTCATGACTACAGTTACATTATGTACCAAGTATCAGAGGGGTCGCCGTGTTAGTCTGAATCTGCAAAAGCAACGAGGAGTCCTGTGGCACCTTATAGACTAACTGAAGTGTAGGAGCATAAGCTTTCGTGGGCAAAGACCCACTTTGTCAGATGCATGTAGTGGAAATTTCCAGAGGCAGGTATAAATATGCAGGCCAGGATCAGGCTGGAGATGAC